AGATAGCTAGCGGCAACTTCTTCGAATGTTGGATCCATCCCACATATATACCGAGCGGTAGCGAGGGCACTATTCCTTCCCAAGCAACACTATGACAGCATAGTGCCCCCAACAACAGGCATTAATGTTTTTAGTGCATCACATGACTTTGCAATCTACTTTGCAAATATGAAGTGAATAAGACAAAGTTTCTTAAACGAACAATTTCAATTTGTATTAAACTGTCTACGTCACGAATTTCTAGCACCAGCAAGTAGTATATTTGTGTGTTATTTGTACAAAATAAAATGTATGAAAATACAATTAGTGTTTCTGTTTACTTTTCATGCTTATATACCTTCTTTATACTCCCTAATTTGCCGGTGCATTCGATGTAACAAAAGTTACAAAACGCTCAACACAAACACAATCGCCATTAATTCGAAACTCTTGCGTGGCGCCCAGACGAAGGAGATTCGTGACACAATGCGTTATAATAACAATGCGTCGCGCAAGCAATAGTGCCCGCTCAAGCGGGCACTATTGCTTCATAGTACCTGCGACGTTATCCAATGGAATTTCAACGATTTATCACGTGATGCACTAAATAGCAGATATTAGGCATGCCGCGCACAGACAGCTAATGGCTCTAAGGTACTCTTCGATTTAGTTCAGTTTTAGAGAAAGTAGCGCCTTATAAATATTCAAATAAGGCATTGGGATAAAGATTTATCAGCCAAACCTCTCGTAAGTACATGCTCTCTCGTTTTAACATGTAATGTAACAAAGTTATGTCTGTAATTTTTGGTTTGTCGCAATACACAACTTATCATGTGCGACACCAACCAACGGCAATGAAAGCGAAAATGATTTCATTCGACGTTGCGAGGATTTTGAGAAGGTTTTACTGCTTGAAATTATATAAGAGCGGTCATCAGATGCACATTTTTCATATCAAGCTTCTTCTACCGAATATATGCTCTGCATTTTAAATATATAATTTCAACAAAATGTGATTCATCTTAAGTAGTAGATATCTAGCATGTGCGCAGGATAGATCTTATCCGATAATCTACGCATGTTTTGCAAAGTTCGGAAGACCTGGCGCTCTATTATTCCTAGACTAAGCCATTCTTCATACCATTCCACTCGGGGGTATTTGTTCTCTAAATTAAATATCAATTTACGACACACTAGTTATAGTACGACACACTACACATGTGTTGTGTATATCTATGTTATGACAAAATGTTTTAGCTGCGGATTCATCAACGTTGCGTAAAGTGTATTGCTACACAGAGTTTCTACGAAGTACGTACGCCAAAGCTCGTAGGTGCGATTCATCAACGCAGCGTAGCACCTGCGTACGCAAATGTTGATGCCATCGTGGCTGCTGGCTGTTGAGGGGCGTGCCTAGCTAAACCAATCACACTGTGCGACACATACCATAGGAACCAAACTGACGCCTCGATTGTATGTAAACATATGCTCGTCTAGCTCTGTCTACAGGAGTGCTGGGGGATGTGAGAGTTGTCCTCATCAAGGAGCTAAAAATAAAATAAGGTGTTATAATATGTAGCTCCTTGGTCCTCATTTTCGTTTGTATGATTGCGTTCAACACTCGATGAAAGCAGCGACACGTACACGTGCGTGCGTGCGTGTGTACGTACACGTGCGTACGTGCGTGTGTGCTTGTGCACGTACACGTGCGTGCTGCGTCGTGCACGCTGCACGTGCGTGCGTGCGTGCGTGCGTGTGCACGTGCACGTGCGTGCGTGCGTGCGTGTCACGTACACGTGCTGTGCGTGTGTGTAACGTACACGTGCGTGCGTGCGTGTGTACGTATCGTGCGTGCGTGCGTGTGTACGTACACGTGCGTGCGTGCGTGTGTGCGCTGCATGTGCACAGTGCACGTACACGTGCGTTCGTTGCCCTTGCGTTCGTGCGTGCCAGTACCGCTCGGGCACTATACCTTCCCTCTGCAACACTATGAGAGCATAGTGCCCCCAACAACAGGCATTAATATATAAATATAAGTCGCACTGTGTCCATTATACACATTATGCATTTAATTTATAAGCCACATACCCACCAGTCACTTTAATAATGATAAAATTTATAGATCTACGAAATTTTGTTCTCGCGAAAGTGGAGATCTGTACTCGATCATGCCCTGTTTCTGCCAATTACAATGACATTTTGAAAATATTGAATATTATATGTATTGCAAATAAACTTTTAAAATGTAAAGCAAAAACTCCTTGCAGTAGCCTGACATGCAAAGTATATATTCCAACGACACTCTATAATAATGAGAGGATGCCCAGTTTTCCTGGTTGATGGAACACTGATTATATTTAAATCAAACAACAGATGGCGGCACGTATCACACATGATGAGTATGCACCTACACGCGTTCATTAAGCGTATTAAAATATACAGCAGTTCCCTGCCGTTTATTAGCGACGTTTACAGCACGCCTTCGCCCGACACTACGGGAACGCTGCAAGGGGGCGTTAAATTTAAATTAAAGAGCGTTCGTGTGAATAATTACAATGTAGGTATAACTATTGCATTCTCCGGGTAGCTCACTCGTTGACCACGACCAGAAGGAATAGATAGGTGGTGGGTGGATCGACTGACGGATGGACGGACGAATGGAGGGGCTGAAAGACGGATAGACAAACGGACGGACGGACGGAGTGGCTGACAGACAGAAGGACGGACGGACGGACAGACGGAGTGGGTGAACGACAGATGGACACACGGACGGACGGACGGACGGAGTCAGTGACGGACGGAAGGATGCACAGACGTACCAACGCACGGGTAGATAGATGGAAATCTTGCGAAGCGCAAAAAACTAGCATCCACTCCGAAGAAATTCCCGCAGCAGAAGAATTCCGTGAGATGACGAAATGTAATTAGTGTACTGCTCACTTCTCCGGATTGTAAACCCCCGGCCATGTACAATATTAATCCGGCCCCGCACCGCTCTCGCGTTCCCCACGATGATTCCCGCACACCCTCGCCTCCCCGCTTTCTCCTGATCTATGGCCCCACGCACGTACTATTTTCCCCGCGGTTTATTTCACATTACGCCTGTTTCACGACATTCTGTCGTTACCTGATAATTCGGTCTCTAGCGGCCTTGTGTAATCAGCCAGCAAGCCCTGCGTGGTCGATACCCGACAGTGCTGCGGTGCTGCTGCGGGATGGGGAGGGGGGTGCACGACACGCAGACATTGTATCGTATTGTATCGTATCGTATCGTACGGTATCGCATCGTATTATATCGTACGGTATTGTATCGTATCGTATCGTAGCGTAGCGTATCACATTGTATCATATCGTATTGTATTGTATCGTATCGTATCGTATGGTGCCGTATCGTATTATTATGGCATCACATCGCATCGTATTGTATCATATCATACGGCATCATATTGTAACGCAGTGTATCGTATCGTATCATATCATATTGTATATTACCGAATCGTATCGCATCGTATAGAATCATATTGTATCGTATCATATCGTATCGTATCGTGTCATACTGCATCGTATCACATTGCATCGTATGACATCGCATCACATGCCTCGTCTCGTATCGAATCGTATTCATATGACCTTCTCGTGTGGTCCCCATGGCATCACATCTTCATTGACGTTGAAAATAAGCGTGTCTGCAGCTGAACAGTGGTAGTAAAGAGAGATATACAGACATTGGTCTATGTAAGGGCGTGTCTGTAGTTGAACATTATAGCAAGTCGAGGCGTCAGTTTGGTTCCTATGGTATGTGTCGCACAGTGTGATTGGTTTATGCTAGGCACGCTCCTCAACGGCCAGCAGCCACGATGGCATCAACATTTGCGTACGCAGGTGCTACGCTGCGTTGATGAATCGCACCTACGAGCTTTGCGTACGTACTTCGTAGAAACTCTGTGTACGCAATACACTTTACGCAACGTTGATGAATCCGCAGCTAAAACATTTTGTCATAACATAGATATGTACAACACAGGTGTTGTATATATCTATGGTCATAACTAGTGTGTCGTAAATTGATATTTAATTTAGAGAACAAATACCCCCGAGTGGAATGGTATGAAGAATGGCTTAGTCTAGGAATAATAGAGCGCCAGGTCTTCCGAACTTGCGATAACATGCAAAAACATGCGGTAGATTATCGGATAAGATCTATCTGCGCACATGCTAGATATCTACTACTTAAGATGAATCACATTTTGTTGAAATTATATATTTAAAATGCAGAGCATATATTCGGTAGAAGAAGCTTGATATGAAAAATGTGCATCTGATGACCGCTCTTATATAATTTCAAGCAGCAAAACTTTCTCAAAATCCCCGCAACGTCGAATGAAATCATTTTCGCTTTTTATTGCCGTTGGTTGGTGTCGCACATGATAAGTTGTGTATTGCGACAAACCAAAAATTTACAGACATAACTTTGTTAACATTACATGTTAAAACGAGAGAGCATGTACTTACGAGAGGTTTGGCTGATAAATCTTTATCCCAATGCCTTATTTGAATAATTTATAAGGCGCTACGTTCTCTAAACTGAACTAAATCGAAGAGTACCTTAGAGCCATTAGCTGTCTGTGCGCGGCATGCCTAATATCTGCTATTAGTGCATCACGTGATAAATCGTTGAAATTCCATTGGATAACGTCGCATGCAGGTACTATGAAGCAATAGTGCCCGCTTGAGCGGGCACTATTGCTTGCGCGACGCATTGTTATTATAACGCATTGTGTTCACGTCACGAATCTCCTTCGTCTGGGCGCCACGCAAGAGTTTCGAATTAATGGCGATTGTGTTTGTGTTGAGCGTTTTGTAACTGATACTACCTATATATATTAAATATATATACATATCGTGGTGTTCTTCTTGAGCGATTCGATATTGTTTGCTGCCTCGCCTGTTTGTCGTTTTTGACGCATGACCTCAGCCTCAACGTAATCACTACCGGTTCGTTACGGGATAGGCGCGCCATCTATTGCGGAATATAGATGATAACCGCGTACACACGCGCGCGGCGCACACAAACGTACGCATGCACGCACGCACGAGCGCACTCGGGCACGCATACACACTCTCTCAAATGCGTAATTTCAATCATTACAAGGTGCTAAGCGTTTCAAATTGAACTGCATTAAAGTGCAGTTTAGAGCGGTAGTATCTATTTATGCGCACATCTCTATGTCTCTACTATCTGATAAAACCCTGGGGTAGATTCATCAAGCTGCGTACGCAAAATATTTTGCGTAAATCTTGTGTACACAATCGACGTTGCTTAGTTGCGATTCATCAACACAGCTATTTAGTAAATTTTCGTACGATTTCGCGTACGCAAGCGAGACCGTTTTAGGTGCGATTCATCAAGCTAAAATTTACGTAAACCTTTGCTTAACTCTACACGAGCTGACGAGGTGCCGTAAACCACTCGAAATTTCCGCAGGTGTTTCCAGCATACCGCAGCATGCATTATTTTATTGAGAAAACATTATAAAATTACTACTCAACTAAAAATAAATAAATAAATACCATACTACACACACAGGCGGCGCCTTTGACGCTTCTTTTGTCATAGCTTGGCATTGTTTTCGTTATAAGCGAGTTCGTAGTTAGCCGTGTACGTGCACACGCACGCACTTGTACGAGCACACGCACGCACGTGTACGTGCACACGCACGCACGCACACGTGCACAAGCACGCACGCACGCCCGTGTACGTACACACGCACGTGTACGTGCACACGCACGCACGTGTACGTGGACAAGCACGTACGTGCACGTGCACACACACGCACGCACGTGCACATGCACGCACGCACGCACGTGTACGTGCACACACACGCACGTGTACGTGCACACGCACGCACGTGTACGTGCACACACGCACACACATGCACGCACGAACGTGTACGTGCACACGCACGCACGCACGCACGTGTACGTACACACGCACGTGTACGTGCACACGCAAGCAAGCACGCTCGTGTACGTACACACGCACGCACGCACGTGTACGTGCACACGCACGTACGTGTACGTGCACACACACGCACGCACGTGCACATGCACGCACGCACGCACGTGTACGTGCACACGCACGCACGTGTACGTGCAAACACACGCACGCACGTGTACAAGCACGCACGCACGCACGTGTACGTGCACACGCAAGCACGCACGCCCGTGTACGTACACACGCACGCACGCACGTGTACGTGCACACGCACGTACGTGTACGTGCACACACACGCACGCACGTGCACATGCACGCACGCACGCCCGTGTACGTGCACACGCACGCACGCGCGCCCGTGTACGTGCAAACGCACGCACGTGTACGTGCACACGCACGCACGCACGTGTACGTACACACGCACGCACGCACACGTGTACGTGCACACGCACGCACGCACGCACATGTGTACGTGCACACGCACGCACGCACATGTGTACGTGCACACGCACGCACGCACATGTGTTCGTGCACACGCA